CCTCATCTCCGGTCTTCTTGACTCTGTCTTGACACCGGGCCCAGGCGGGGGAGGAGGAGAGAGTGTAGGTAGATGCTACGCAAGTCTACTGGCACTATAAACCACTGCGTAAGTCACCGTCCCTGCTCCCATTGCTGCTGCAACAGTGAGGCACACGGTGGACATCATCGAAACCGATGGTCGAACTGGCATGTGTTTGTGTGTCAGGAGGCGTCAAGGGATGACGCAAAATTCCATGTGGGACTGCAGTGTAGATCGAGATCCCCTCCGCTTTTAATCTGTAGTTCTAATGCTAATCGGTGCACCTATTCTTCTGCGAGGCTTCTTGTGACTGACACCTGGTTTGTGATTGATGCGCGACGAACGCAGATTCGATCGCAGTCCGTGGACGTAGATACGCATGTGGCCGAATGCGGACAGGGGGCGTCCCTAGATGATATTTTAATATTTATGAAAATCGAATGTTATTGGAATTACTTAAACATTGCAGGCTGTTGGAATGGATCAGGATACAGGGCGGAGACTTTCACAGCACCAGGCGGATCAGCTGATATCAGCAACGACTTAACATCTCGGACCTCGTTGTCGAAGAAACCACTGGAGACGCTCGCAAAGATCGCTGGAGCTACAAGCATTCGCATGTAAACTTCTGCGTTTCTTGATGTTCCTTCTATGACCCGCATGCTAAGAAATAAACTAATTGCAAAGTAGGTTGTTTTGTCTTTTTTTGAAAACGTCGAATGGATGTGGAGTGCCCAACACCCAAGGCAACCGATTAATGGCGTGTTTATCTCTGCAAGGAATAAAAAGTATGGACCAGTTATCTTTTACTAGGGAGATGCTCGTTTTCGGGATTAATGCCTGATTATGGGGAGAAATCATTGTCGCCAGCAGATATGATACTGGAGACTAATTAGATTTAGTGGTGGAGATGTTCTCACTGCCAGGTGTCCCTAGCGGGTTTAATAAACATGGCCTCCAATTTTTTTGTAAAAAAAAAACACCAAAAGGGTGTAAAGTGTCCAACACTTGGGGTGAAAAATAATCTCTAGCATATCTCTGCGAGGAATGAGAGATGTGGTCGAGGTTAGTTTAGCAAAGAGATGCCAACTTGCTGACGAAGTGAGTAACACTAGTAAGATCGCAGATCCGGGAGCCTGTGTGTTAATATGAATGGCACACATACTACTTACTGAGGCGACAGGAGCAGTTAGAGAGTGGACGGCGGACCTGGCACTATGAATTAGGACATATGTCACCAAATCTGAATAGTGTCCCACTCCAAAAGCAAATTTGCCCACCCCCGCGAAATGCGATAGACTGGTGTGTGAGTTGCTATCGGCCTTCTCCATTAAGGGAAACGTTACACTCCTTAGTATTCGGTCGACGGAAGATGTCGGATGCTTGTACGCTGTCTGTCTCCGTAGCATAAATTGATCCTTTTCTTCATCTAAAAAAGATTAAAAGGTTGGACTGTCTCGGGATTTATGATTAGCAAAGATTTCACCAAGCACGACGAGCTCACATGAATGATGTCAAGGGTATTTAACATAACGCATGTTCAAATATAACCCAGGTTAGTGATTTGGATGTAACCAGAGATACGATTAACTGAATCGGCACTATCTACGTGGCAAGGCCCTGCTTCTTGTTGCGTACCAGGTGGACTGTCAGTTATCAGGGGTGCACCTCGAGTTGATGGCCCCTGGACCGTGAGGTGGCCTGCACGCCTGGCGAGGGAAAATCGATCGTGCTCGATGGATGACGCAGCTGGCAGATTTCGCCAGATGGCCGAAAGCTGAATGCGAGTAGAGGCGCCCCTAGATGACCTTGGCAGCAGGTAGTCAGTGGCGTGCGCAGTCGTTGAGTGCGTACGTGCCTGAACAATGACAGTGTCCCTTAATCCGCTCAAGCGGCAGATGCGCTGAAAAACATGCGGGCTAGATCGGGGTTTGTCTGGGGTTAATTGGAAACGTGCATTCAGGGAATGTCAAAATTGGGTCCGTCTTCCAGACATACGTAGACTTTTTCCTCGCTAGATATCCACATTTCCCTTAAAAATGTCATTTGCCGATGTGAGAAATGCCAGAGACGTTTATGAAAACAAAAGGCTGTGTTTTTACTGAAAACACGGTTAGATCGCCGTCAGTCACAATTTGGACATATCTACTAGACAGGTCATGAGACGAAGTGCGAATATTTGCAGGAGTGCAGAGGTTAGTAATAAGAATATGCGTGTGATATCAGGGGAATTTCAGTCTATGCATATTTCACCCTCTCTTTCTTCACAACTTCAATTTGCTGCTGTCTTTGTTCGAAAATGAACTTGAAACTTCAAGTGAACATTGCTTTCGTTTTAGTGATCGAGTGATTTTCCTCACAGCAAAATAACACTGTTAAGGAAGCTCACGTTCTGAAAGTGAAATGGGTTCGGTCTCCGAAGTTGCTCCTAAGAGAAACCGCAGTGTTCTTCATACTTACTTGATTCCCTACGGCAAAGAAGGCATAATTAATCAGTCATTGTGAATATCTGTATTTTGCAGTCAGCAGACTTTTTACATTGAAAGTGAAACAAATGCCGTGGGATTGTGATTAACATCGAAACAGCCAGTTCCAAGTTAAATTAGTGCGGATTCGATTCGCTGAAAGATCACATGCAATGCGAATCTCTAAGCTACGTAATGGTTTCATTTTTTCAACTGTCCGTGTTGATGTATTCGCATAAATTAGATATGCATAATCCAGGACAGTAAACCAAGTGGGATTTTAGAATTAATTCGACGCGCTCCGTAAGGAGTGGATTTACCTACGTTAAAATTCGTCGTAGCGGAATGTACATTAAGTAAACAAACTGTTTTTATTAACATCCTACACTGTTTTAATATAGACACAGTCTGAGCGCCTGTCTAGCATTAATTGCAAAGGGGCAATCAGCAAATTTCAACATTATGTCGACTTCAGCCTGCCAGGAAAACCGCATTTCTAACAAAAATTCCCGTTTCCAAAGTCATAGAATCGCCAAAGTCTATTTTTAGAACAAAGGACGAGGTTAGCATTTAAAAAACAGCTAGATCGTAACAGTCACAATTTAAACATATCTTCTAGTGAAATCATCAAACGAATCACGAAAAGCTGCATGGAATGCGGGCGTTATCATTATAAACATGCGCATGATAGTATAGGAATTGCAGATTATAAATATTTCAACCGCTGTACGTCCACAAATTCAATATGTTGCTGTCCTTGATCAAAAAGGTATCGGGAAACTCAAGTGAATATTATTCTCGCTCCAGCGATCGAGTGATTCTGCTCACATCAAAATGACACTGCTAAGAATGCTTTACTTCTGAAAAATAATTGGTTTCATTCTCCGAAGTTGCTACTAAGCCTAACTGGTGGTATTCGAACCCCCAACAGCAAAGAGAGGCTTTAGTACGGCCAACGCTCTAGTCACCTAAGATACGAGGCCCAACCGGACGACGCGAGTTTAATCATATCTTAATCAATTTTACTCGTTCGATCTACTGCAAAGTCTGGTATCCACCAAATCTGATAAAGTAAGCTGACATTCTAAGCAGGATTTTCTAATTTATATATATAGAATCCACCAGATGGCTAAGGGTTTCACGAAATTCATATCTATTATAGCAGATACGATTAATGTAGCGTCGTCCGGTGGAGCCTTTTAGGTCAGTTGGCTAGAGCGTTTGCTGTACTAAGGCTACATAAAGCTGAAGCGGGTTCATACACCACAGAGGCGCCGAGTATTTCATATGCGTATCAAAATAACTCGTTTGTGTACTTGCGTTTAATAAGGCAATATCGACAACAGTCGGTCAAGTTGCAATAGGCTCGCCTTGCCAGTCAAAATAAGGAGATATGGATTACTTGACATAGTAAAACGCTTGCTGTCGTGGGTTTTAGTCACACCGTGGCACCGAGGTTTGACAATTCAATCAACGTGGATGCGTGAGACTTTAGTAAATATATTCTGTAAACTGAAGGGGCTCTCGGTTCTGACGGATAGGCAATTTGAGAATATGCAGTGGTTGCACCTTCAGTTGTGGCAGATCACTGATATGTCAGATAAATTATCCGCGAGCTGGTTGCAAACCTGTAGATATGAATTTCCTCTTACGAATGTTGCACTCATTGCATTAGGGCTCCTGTCCTCATTATTCGCAAACCAAGTGACAGACGCGAGCAGATCACGCCACTCTGGGTGCAACGATTTGTACTTAAATCTGCTGATCCGATGCGGAGGGAGGGAGGGAGCTGGCTGGGTGGGGTTTCGTATGTGCAGATAGCAGGCGCGCTCGTGTTGCGTGCTATCAGGGTGGGACATCGATTCCCGTAAAAAAAGAGGATGACGCACTCTCTACTCGATCTACTCTTCAGTCTCACAGCGACTGCCGCCCTGAATTACGCTAGCCCTCCGCCTTAGCTAAATTTAGCCAGAGGTGATCCAGATGGTTGCGTGGAATCGCTGTCTTTCAGCTGCTGTTTGTAACATTAAGTCCGCTGTAGAGCGTGCTGTCGATCAGAGTTAGGCAAACACCGGGCAAAACGCACTGCTAGAAAACTGCACAAACTTCTATGAAGTACAGGCCTCTGGTTTAAACTTGAGAAGCATAAAGTCTCCTGCCTCCGACGAAATCGCCGACAGACTGGCAGGGTGAGTCCGCTCACTCTGGCAGCCTGGAATGTTCGTTCCCTTTAAGACAATCCGAGAAGCAACCGACCGGAACGGAGGACGGCGCTAGTGGCACGAGAACTGGCGCGCTACAAGGTGGACATCGCCGCACTCAGCGAGACCCGATTCTCCGAACAAGGCCAACTGGAGGTTGTGAGGGCCGACTACACCTTCTTCTGGAGTGGCCGACCCAGGGCAGAGCGACGAGACGCGGGTGTCGTCCTCGCCATCCGGAACGACATCGTGGGACGACTGCCCAGTCTGCCGCAGGGAATCTACGATCGCCTGATAAGCCTCCGTCTGCCTCTCAGGCAGGCGTGGGGGCAAATTCGCCACCATCATCAGCGCCTACGCTCCGCCGATGAGCTGCCCCGACGCCACCGCAATAGACAAATTCTACGAGGACCTGCACGCCCTCTTGGCGACTGTTTTGAAGGCGGACAAGCTGATTGTCTTTGGCGGCTTCAACACCCACGTCGGCACAGAACATACTGCCTAGAGAGGAGTGCTGCGTCGCCACGGTCTCCGCGGCTCCAACGACAATGGTCTGCTGCTGCTCCGCACCTGCGCAGAACACTGCCTCATCCTGACGAAGGCCTTTTTCGGTCTGTCGGAGCGAGAGAAGGCCACCTGGAGGCATCCTCGGTCCCGTCAGTGGCACCTGCTGGACTACGTCCTCGTCCGGAGGCGAGATCAACGGGAAGTGTTGGTGACGATGGCGATCGCGGGTGCTGACGGGTGGACCGACCATCGCCTCGTCATATCGAAGATGCGTATTAGCCTGCAGCCTCGCAGGAGACCACAAGTTAAGCGACCCCCAGAAAAGCTGAATATTGCCTTTTTGTCTTTGCCCGCTCACAATCTTCATTTCAGAAATGAGCAAGCTCAACGGCTAGACAAAAATTCCCATCGCCGATGCAGCCGATGACGAGGCCACCATTGCAGAGAACGCCTCCGTGGAGAACCGCTCGTGTCAACTACGAAACACGGTCCAGGCGACGACGCTCGCCGTCCTCGGTCTCGCTCCCCGTTAACGCCAGGACTGGTTCGACGACAACGACGCCGCCATCAGAAATCTGCTTGCTGAGAAAAACCGCCTACACAAAGCCTACGTACACCACCCCACTGATGACAACAAAGTTGCTTTCTCCCGCAGACGCCGCCAGCTTCAGCAACGACTGCGCGAGATGCAGGACGCCTGGACTGCTCGCAAATCTGATGAGATTCAAGGCTACGGGGACCGCAACGAATGGAAGAACTTCTTCTCTGCGATCAAAGCTGTCTACGGTCCGCCGACGATGGGCACTGCTCCTCTCCTCAGCGCCGACGGTAGCACTCTCCTGACTGAATAGACGCCAATCCTACAGCGATGGGCGAGCATATCCGAGGCATCCTCAACCGCCCCTCCGTCATCTCCGACGCCGCCATCGAGCGTTTGCCGCAAGTGGAGACCAACATCGTCCTCGACCTCCCGCCATCTCTCCGGGAAACCATCAGGGCCGTGCAGCAACTCTCCAGCGGGAAAGCACCCGGATCGGACGCAATCCCTGCTGAGGTCTTCAAGCACGGAGGTCCCCAACTCATGGACCACCTGACTGCGATCTTCCAGGAGCTGTGGCGTAAAGATGAAGTCCCGCAAGATTTCAACGACGCAACTATCGTGCAACTTTACAAGCGAAAAGGGAATCGCCAAGTCTGCGACAATCACGCCGCATAATCATGCTGAAAATTGCCGGGAAGATCTTCGCTCCCATCCTCCTCAATCGTCTGAATAATCATCTGGAACAGGGGCTTCTACCGGAAAGCCAATGCGGCTTCCGTTGTCATCGCGTGACCACAGACATGATCTTCGCTGCTCGTCAACTTTATGAGAAGAGGCAGGAGATGCGGACCCACCTGTACTCTACCTTCGTGGACCTGACGAAAGCCTTCGACACGGTGAATCGTGAAGGACTGTGGAAGATCATGCAAAACTACGGCTGTCCGTAGCGATCCATTGAGATGGTGCGTCAGCTGCAGGACGGCATGATGGCGCGAGTCAAGGACAACGGAGCTGTCTCAGAGACATTCGTAGTGGCCAACGGTGTGAAGAATTAATGCGTGCTGGCACCTACCCTCTTCAGTCTTATGTTCTATGCCATGCTGATGGACCCCGATCGTGTTGAGCACCCCGGGATCCGCATTGCCTACAGGACGGACAGTCACCTCCTGAATCAACGGCGGATGCACTTCCAATCGCGCGTATCCACAACCAACGTGCACGAACTTCCCATCGCCGACGACTACGCCCTGAACACCACATCGGAAGTGGAGATGCCACGGAGCATGGACCTGTTCTCTGCCGCCTGCGAGAACTTTGGGCTGGTCATTAACACGCAGAAGACGGTGGTGATGCATCAACCGGCACCCAATTCAGCCACAGCCCACAACGCGTCGCCGCAAATCAACGTGAATTGAACCCAATTGCAAGTGGTGGAGAACTTCCCGTACTTGGACAGCACCCTTTCGAGCAACACCATGATAGATGACGAAGTCGCCAACAGGATCTCGAAAGCCAGTCAAGCCTTCGGTCGCCTCAAAAGCACAGTTTGGAATCGTCATGGCCTCCATCTGAGTACGAGGCTAAAGATGTACAAGGCCGTCATCCTGCCGACGCTACTGTACGGAGCGGAGACCTGCACGGTGTACACGAGGCAGGCACGCCTACTGAACCACTTCCACCTCAGTTGTCTCCGTCGCATCCTGTGGCTGCACTGGCAGGATCGAATCTCCGACACAGATATGCTGAAACGATCGGAAATGCTCAGCATTTACTCCATGCTGAGACAAATGCAGCTGCGCTGGAGCGGCCATCTGGTGCTCATGGACGACGAGCGACTACCCAAACGACTCTTCTACGTAGACGTTGCGATGGGTTCTCGCCGCCAAGGTGGTCAAATTCTTCGATACAACGACACTCTGACGTCCACCCTGAAGCGCCTGCAAATCAACCCGACCAACTGGGAAGAGTTCACCCTCTACCGACCGACCTGGAGGAGGACAGTGAAGAGAGCCGCTGCGATCTATGAGGCCAACCGAATCGCCGCTGCCAAAGTGAAACGAGAGCACGCAAATCACAGCCACCCCACGTCCGCAACTGCGACGCACAACCGCTTCCAACGTGTCCCCGGTGTCAACGGACATTCCGGGCAGAAATTGAACTCATTGTACACCTAAGGATCAACTGCGAATCTCGGACAGCACCAACCGCCGTCCCTCCGCCCGCCTTTCCCTTGTCCTCTCCGCCGCCAACCAACTC